AGAAGGTTTTGGTCAGCAAGTTGGTGACTCGTGCTAGGAAGAGGTGACTAGCCCCAGGCCCACTGTTCTGTCCCTGACTCCTGGAGTTTGGAAGCTGCTGAGTGGAAGAGGGAGTAAGCAAGGAGTCTTTGGTTTGCTTTGGGGGCCCCTGAGGTGAGGATGACCCTTTCTACTGAAAGGGCACCTTAGTGGAGGTGCCAAGTCCCCAGGGTGTGTGTGCCTTGCAGGTGAATCCCAACAGCATTGCAGCCAAAGATGGCCGAATCCGAGAGGGAGACCGAATTGTCCAGGTAAGTGGGGCAGGCACGTCTGACCCAAAGCTTCACTGTGTGAGCTGTCCCATTACTTATCTGAAGCTCTTAGCTCTGTCCTGCTAAGAGTTTATCCTGGTGCCAGGCATCCTTCTGTGCCGGAAACTGGGGCTGGGTCTCATCTCTCCTGCACAACTGCTCCAGGTGACTCCTGTGTATCCATGGGATCTGCTCTGGCACCTTGCCAGCCTTTCCCTCTATCCCCCAGATGTGAGCACATCTGCTCTATGCTGCCCTCTGAGCACATGTGCTTTTGCACAGGCCAGGCTGTCCTCTCCCGAGGTACCTTCCACTTCTTTCCATCCTGCCAAAGCTTGAGAGCCTGTTCTAGCCCAGGGTGATCAACCAGGGCCCACCCTGGTGCCAGCTCTCCCGTCTTTGTTGATTGTTCCTCGGCCTGCCACAGATAAACGGTATGGACGTCCAGAACCGGGAAGAGGCGGTGGCCATCCTGAGCCAGGAGGAGAACACCAACATCTCCTTGCTGGTGGCCCGGCCTGAGAGCCAGGTGTGTATCTGGCAGGGTGTTCTGGGTCCCCTCACATTGGGCTTTTTCTGTCTTGGAATCTGCTGATCTGTGGCAAGGGCATAGACATGCCAACAACCTGGCACTGATGGAGGGCTGGAAGTGTCTCAGGGCCTGTTTCTCCTTTTGGCCTACGATGGCTGGGACCACACCCTTTCTTGGGTTGTTAACTTCATTGAGACCAGGAGGCTGGGTATAAAACCTTGAGGCAACTGGAGGGGTATCTGGGGAGGTTCTTAAGACAGTAGGGACATCATGGGTCTGTCTCTGCAGCTGGCAAAGCGAATGAAGGACAGTGACCGGGACGACTTCCTGGATGACTTGGACTCACAGAATGAGGGGAAGTTGAAATCCCCCCCTGCCCAGCAGGTGAGGAAGGAGTAAGGAAAGGGCAGGTGGTGGGGAGGGCAAACAGGAAGGGAGAGTGAGGAGGGGCTGGGGGTGTGTGGGAGGTGGATGGGACCCCAAAGTCCTTCTGATCCTTGATCCTCTTTTGGTGGCCCTGCTAGTGGGACCCAAACTGAGTAGGGTTCATCTTTCTACCCCAGCTTGGAAAAGAAGAGGAGCAAGGGGCCCCTGAAGTGGGCCCAGGCCTGAGCAACAGCCAGGAGCTGGACAGTGGGGTGGGTCGGACTGATGAGAGCACCCGCAATGAGGAGAGCTCTGAGCACGACCTGCTGGGGGATGAGCCCCCAAGCACCACCAACACACCTGGGACCCTGCGAAAGTTTGGCCTGCAAGGGGACGCCCTGCAGAGCCGGGACTTCCACTTCAGCATGGACTCCTTGCTGGCTGAGGGGGCTGGGCTGGGGGTTAGTGAGGTCCCTGGCCTCACTGATGAGGAGTATGAGCGCTACAGGGAGCTGCTGGAAATTAAGTGCCACCTGGAGAATGGCAACCAGTTGGGCCCCCTCTTCTCCCGGGCCTCCAGTGGCAACAGTGCCCTGGACGTCAACCGCAATGAAAGCCTGGGCCACGAGATGGCCATGCTGGAGGAGGAGCTACGGCACCTGGAATTCAAGTGCCGCAACATTCTGCGGGCGCAGAAGATGCAGCAGCTGCGGGAGCGCTGCATGAAGGCCTGGCTGCTGGAGGAGGAGAGCGTCTATGAGCTGGGGGCCAGTGAGCCCAAGAAGCGTGAGCTGTCTGACATCTCTGAGCTGCCTGAGAAGTCTGACAAGGACAGCACCAGTGCCTACAACACAGGGGAGAGCTGCCGAAGCACCCCGCTGCTCACTGAGCCTCTGCAGGAGAGCCCCGTGAGGCGGGCTGCTGCTGTCAACTCCAACTTGAACCAGACCCCCTCTGGCCCCACTGTCGTCACCCACTCCAAGGCAGCTCCTTCACAGGGGAGCCCTGCCAAGTTCCGATCCCTCTCCCGGGATCCTGAGGTGGGCCGGAGACAGCACTCAGAGGAGCGTGTCCGCCGCAGTCCCAAGATGGGGGTGACCCTGGAGCGTGTGGGTCCCGAGATCAGCCCTTACCTCTCTAGGCGCCACCGAGGCCAGGGCCAGGAGAGTGAGCACTACCAAAGTTGTGTGCAGCTGGTCCCTCCACACTGCCTGGAGGATCTGGGCCATGGCCCCTTGAGTTTGGCCGGTGGTCCTCGGGTGGGTGGAGCAGTCGTGGCAGCCACCGAAGTGCCCCGCATGGAGTGGAAAGTCAAGGTGCGCAGTGATGGAACCCGGTATGTGGCCAAGCGGCCTGTGCGTGATCGCCTCCTAAAAGCCCGGGCCCTGAAGATCCGGGAGGAGCGCAGTGGCATGACCACAGACGATGACGCTGTGAGTGAGATGAAGATGGGCCGTTACTGGAGCAAGGAGGAGCGGAAGCAGCACCTAATCCGGGCCCGGGAGCAGCGGAAGCGGCGTGAGTTCATGATGCAGAGCCGGTTGGAGTGCCTGAGGGAACAGCAGAACAGCGACAGCAAGGCTGAGCTCAACATCATTGCCTTGAGCCACCGCAAAACCATGAAGAAGCGGAATAAGAAGATTCTAGATAACTGGATCACCATCCAGGAGATGCTGGCCCACGGCACTCGATCAGCTGACGGCAAACGGGTCTATAACCCTCTGCTCTCGGTTACCACCGTCTGAGCCACCCAGATGGGAGCCAGCTGCACTACAGGGCGGGCCCTCTGCCCCAGCCCAGGTCCAGTGAGCCTCCAGGAGCCCCATCCCCTACTCTCCCTTAGAATCTAGTGTGTCTGTGTGTGCACAGGTGTGCGCACCCCTGTCTTTGTATTTGTGCACAGGACTTTGTTACCAGAGAGAAGCCCCTGAGGAGCATGGGCATCCCTTCAGTTGTGTGCACGTGTGTGCGAAACATGAGCCCAGGCACATGCACATGAATACACTCACACATACTCCTCCAGAGCTCTCTCAGTGTGGGTACTTGGGGACAGGGAAGTTGAGCTGAAAAGGAGAGGTGAAGAGGATTGTCCTAAGCACAAGAGAATGTCCAGCTTCCGAGCTGAGCAGTCTCCTCCTGCTGGGAGCCTCCACTGTTTGTAGACAAAGGCAACCCTGATTTTTGTGGGTTTTCTCCCTTTCTGTGCTTGCCACTTGTTTTTCTGTTTTGTGCACCTGCCCTGGGGGCTGGCAGCTCCTTCAGGCAGCCTGACAAAGGTGGAACCCCCCCTAGTGAGG